TGCTCCTCCCTAGCTCATGCTCTGTCTCTCTCTGACTCAGAAATAAATAAACATTAAAAAAAATTTTAAGTATATATGTACTTACATACTTTTAATATATAACACAAATATATACAGGTGTATGTATACATATACTTTTAATATGAAAATTATACAGGTGTGTATAATGTATATTAAACATGCATAAATATATATTACACATAATATATACATATTATATGTATATTATACATAGTATATGTTAAAAGTGTATATATGTATGTATTTCCCAATTGAAAGCTAGAGGACTGGGGTACCTGGGTGGCTTGGTGGGTTAAGCATCTGACTTCAGCTCAGGTCATGATCTCGCAATTGGTGAGTTTGAGCCCTGCATCCGGCACAGTGCTGACAGCTTGGAGCCTGGAGCCTGCTTCCAAATTCTGTGTCTCCCTCTCTCTCTGCCCCTCTCCTGCTCATGCTCTGTCTCTGTCTTTCAAAATTAAATAAATACTAAAAAAAAAATTTTTTTTAAAGATAGCTAGAGGACTTAAAGATATTAAAACAAACATGACCTCTTAAATAATTCCTCAGACAGGAGACTCCAGACCAGACATTGACACAGCTTTTCTGTGAAGGGCCAACTAGTAAACATTTTAGGTGTTTTGGTCTATGTAGATTTTGTCACAACCATTCAACTTGACCATTGCAGCACAAAAGCAGCCATTGATGATGCATATGTGATGAGCATTTCTATGTTCCAATAAAACTTTATTTATGGACACTGAGATTTAAATTTCATATATTTTTTTCAAATATGTTTCACCTGTCACAAAATATTTTTTAAAAATTTTTTCCAGCCTTTTAAATACGCAAACATCATTTTTAGTTTGAGAGATGTAAAAATCATAGGGATCAGCCATATGTGGCTCATAACCACTGGTTTACAGACTTCTCATCTTGACATAACCCCTTAGGATTACCCAGGCAGGATGGCCAGGTCTCAGGCTGGGTGTGGATTGGGGTCAGTTAGGAAAACAAAGCTGTCACACCAAGAGGCCAAAGGGGACACAATGGGCATATCATCCATGGCAGCAATAAGGACTCTCTATTAGCTCTTTGCACTACGGAAAAAAGAGTGAATCTGGATTTCTGCCTATCTCCTGAGCTTGAAAATTCCTTCCATCTGACTTCTCTACGTTTAGTATATTTTAGTTTGGGATGCCAGTTTTCTTTCTCTACTCTTGGTCCTGTTGATGAAAAAAGGAGAGAGGGATGCCAATATTTTTATGTTTTTATTTTCCTTCTATGATGCGTTAGCATTGGTAATGGTGGTAACAACAGTTATAGAAAATCACCAGTTCTTAACAGAAAGAAAGCTATTATCAAGATCCAAAGAGCTATCTTTCAATTCTATATTTGTTATTAACCACCTGAGTGATGTCAGTTTACCTATTTGTAAAGGGAGAATCTTGGAGATTTGTTCTAACTGTATGAATGCATGAAAGTTCTTATAAACATCACTTCATTGAAAAGCCTTAAGGTAGGAAATAAGTTTCATTAAACATGTTGGAAACTTATGGAAAGATATGTTAAAGTAGGGAAAAAGCAGATTAAAAGAATAAATTCATGTTTGTATTTTTGTATTTACTGAGTTTTTTTAGTAAAATGTTCAGGATAAATTCAGCTACAGTATTATTTTATGCTTATTTTTCTGTAAGCATCCATAATTTAACTAAAGGACCTCTGATTTACATTCATTTCCTTGAAAGAAAAGATAAGAAACGCATTTTTTAAAAAACACCAAAAAAACCACAACCTGTGAATTAAGACCTTAAACCTGCAGATGGTGCTATGATCCCATTAGGAAATTCAGTTATGCTTTCTAGTTTACATTCATAGGAAAAAAATGCGGTCCTTTGATTTGGTTTATCTTTATCCAGAAGTAATAAAATTGAATTATTTCTCTTACTTTTGTGTTTTATTATCATAATGGGAGAAACTGTTTTTGCCACTGGAAAAAGCTAATGTAGTTACTCTTTGTGAATGCTAAATGCTTCCTTAGACCAAATAATAATCAACTTTTATGTCTTTTTTCTTTAAATTTTTCTGCTTATCGTTTAGCATTAGTTTTTCTGTTACTTTCAAGCAACTTACTTTGCTGTTTCTGTTCTTAAATAAAGTTGCTTCACTGAGAATTGAGTGACGAAGAGCTAAGGATAAAACATTCCACATGAGAACCATTTCAACCTCTAGTTTGTAATAATCAGGTAAAAAAAGATTTCCTGGAATTAAGCCCCAGGAACTCTGGCTTCAGTCAGAGCTGTCAACTGGGAAACAAATTTCCAGACATTTTGAAATTTAATTCATTTAATTTTTCTTGTAACTGGATTAGAAAATATGATTAAGCATAGCAGGATATTCTCTTACTGGATCAGTCTGGCTTTGAATTAAGCTGTAGATACTAAATTTTTAAAGCAGAAGAAAGAAAGGCGGCTTCAGAGTCTTTCTCCCTTGAGGAACTTAGGAACAAAAATGTAAAAGAATACACACACTGGAAATTTAAAAGAAAATTATGGGAAAGATGGTGTTTTACTTTGTTGTCCATGAAGTTGTTCATGTGGCTGTATTTTTACCTGAAACTCTGATTGAATGTATGATAGTCTAATTTGAATTAAAGCCCCCCAAACAGAAATGAGAATTTATCAAAGTAGTCCACAGATGCTTTCCAACTAGTTCTTTGAAACCTGCCAGTTGACTAAGTTGGAAATGTTCAAAAAGCTGGTGTGGCTGTGTATTTAGGGATGAAGGGCAGAAACAAAATAATTTTATATGGTGCAAAGACTTATTATACAATTGATGAAAATTTCTTCCTTTATGAAAGAAGGAAAATTGAGATATATATATATATATATATATATATATATATATATACTGCCTGATAGCTTATTTTTCGGATTATTTGAGATCATGTATGTGAAAGTGCATTGGAATTGTGATATTTTGTACAAATGTAAAATAGCAGTACTACGACTACTTTTGACAACAGTGTGCATATGGCACTATTTTAGAGTCTTTCAGAAACTTTTATCTTGGGATTAGTTTCAACACAAAGGAAATATAATAATAGAAAAATGGAAAATTATTTCTGGATGCTTTTAAAATTAGAATAGATCTCAAGAAAGACTAAATCGGGATCTATGTGAATAGCATAAAAATTTTTAAAGGCTTTAGAACTGATATTTAATAATAAAGGGGAATTATGAATTTGTAGACAAAATTAAAATAAGTATTTGGGTTTTTTTCTACATTTGTTTCTACACATAAAACTCCTGTTTTCTGAAGGAACCCCAGTGGCCCTGGCTATAACACTAACCATTTTTCTTATTTCATTACTACTAATCAAAGATTAAAACATTTCATATTAAGCTTGGTACCTTTTTTTTGTTGTCCACATAAAGAAAAGTAAATTTCCTCTTTATATCTTACATCTTGAAGTTACTCACTATAAATTTATATAAATCAGATGTAATGACAATTTAATAAGAACACAAGCCCTATTCATCCTGTGGGAGTACTACTGTGACGTCTTTCAGAGAGCTTTGTGATTGCTCAGCCCTAAGTGTAAGCCCTATAAAATGATGGGCTTTGAAATGCTGGTCAGAGTGGAGTGAAAGGCAGTTGCCTGCAATAATAGCCAACCAGTACCAAGTTCTGGTTCAGCTCTGAGAGCAGAGAACTGGTGGAAACTTTCTCGGCCTCAGAGGACTTCAGCACCTAAGACAGCTCCAAGAATCTCCTTCGACTATAGAAAGCTCCCAAGGAACACTACTTGGCAAGGTGAGTGAAACTTTACCTTTCTTTTTCTTCTTTTTTTCCCTCCTCCTGCTTTCAAACTTTTCTCAGGGTATATTGAATATTTCTTTCTCTTGAAAAGAATTTTATAGTGTTCCTCCTTTAAAAAAACAAAAGACAAGTTTCTTAAGTCACCTGGTGAGTGCAGATAGAAACGTTTCAACTTCTTATATATCAGTGGATTTTTTGAATTCTTTTAGTTGGAAGATATTTTGCCTGGATTACTGTATACTTTTACTCAATGCTGTCTTTTTAAAAATGAACTAAAGTATTTTTTTTTGCTTGTATATACATTTTTGACTGAAGGGTTCAGTGGGTACATTTGTTTTAGATTTTCAACTTCTTTTTTTTAGTGTTGTTCTATTTCATATGTTAGTTATGTGAATCAAGGAAGCATTTATTTTCCTCTTTAAGTCTAAATTCTGCAATCTTTATAGACAAGACAAACAAAGCCAAAATTCCTAAATTCCTATCTAGAAACTTTGGAAATGAAACATGTAAGTGGGTTAGCTGTATAAAAGCACAAACCTTAATTTTAGTATCTTTTTCCTTTTATAGCAAAAATTATTTCAATGATAATATGTGGTATAATAATTTTTGGTACTTATTTTAACAATTAAGTTAAGTTGTTCAAACCCAGGCATAAGGAAATAAGTTTTTAATAATATCTACAATTAAAAGAGGAAAAAGAAATTCATGTATAACTTTTACACTGATATGTATATATAGATGTATATACATACATGTGTAGACAAAGCATTATTAAATAGATGGTACTCCAGTGTTATATTAATTAGACATTAGAAACTTAAACTGTTTCTTTAGTTAGAAAAGATACTAAACATGGGTGCTACAACTCTGCTGTATGGATACTTCCAGCACTATAAAAGTATGGCATTCCACATACACTCAGCCCCACTATGTGCCTGGTAAGTGATAGGCAGCAGTTGAAAAGGATTCCAATTTTTATTCAAACACCTGCCACCAAAAAAAAATCTTTTTGACTTAAAAAGTTATTATATTGCAGTTTAACTCCTTCTACCAGATAAAAATTACCTTTTCCAAACTCTGCAGGAGCCTTCATAAATTACTGCTAGACACTCAGAATTACTTTGAGATATCTTTGGTTGGAAAAGCTGATGTGATTCTCTCCCTTTCAAGGTACAAAGATGGAAACCAGAAGTAAGTCCCAGCCCCTTGTGCTGCTAATGCTGGTCAGCATGCTCTTCTCACAAATGTTGGCGTGGCCTCTTTTTGGAGCACCCTCTTCTCTGAGGTAAGTATTCCTTCAATGCATGCAGTTGAACATTCCTTCTTCATCTATATAGGAATTTCCTATATGTTATTTTGGACAACTCAACTTTTTAGGTTATGTATTATTTATTTAAATCTTTGGGTTGGTGTGTTAAGCAAGTTTTTTCAACATCAGGTCAATATGACTGTTCTGCACCTTGGAATCCACTCTCGGGGCATGAGAGACAGTGTCAATGACTAGTTTTAAGCTTAGGGTGGATCACCTTTCCAAACAAGAAGGAAGAAGGAGTTGACATTCTTTCAATTCAAAACTGGTTTTAGATAAGTAATAAGATTTTATCCTCTGTCATCTCAGTTCAGTTCAGTTTCTGATGGAAAAAAATAGATGTTTAGTTGCCTGCTTCACTGAAGTTCCTTTTCAAGATCAATCAGTAAATAACCTTAAGGTTAGTAGCTAACTAGTGAAACATATTGCTGTGAACAATCATGCTGGACAGACCTTCCTATCTAGCCAGATTCAATTTGTCAATATTATAAATTGTGGAATAACTGATCTACCAGTTAGTGAATTTTAATGTATCTTGTTTCAACCACAAATCCTTAGTTTTACTGTTCTATATGTTATATTTCATATTTCAAATTCATAAATTATAACATAACTCTTATTTAAAGCTTTATCTGAAATAAATTTATGTTAAAGAAGTAAACACTAAATAAAAACTACATTAGTTTGATTTTTTCCTTCCACTTTATAGGCACCACTATATCTACAGGCAAAATCATCATTTCTTTGCTCATTTTCCCATTTCTTATTCTTTTTTCAAGGTAGAATTATACTCAATAGAGTGAATTATCTCTTAGCTATTAGTGTTTGTGAAAACTGCTTAAAGCCAGATCTTATGTTGCTCTGATAACTAAATAGAATGATTCTATCTGAATTGTTATGTTACGTATCACAACAGACAATCACAAGAATGCTGAAGTTTGCATTGATTGCTAGGTTTCATGCAAAGAAGACTGCTTGTTACTTCCCCCAACTACTACATCACCAGAAGATACATAAGTCCCCAGGAGCTGACATACTCCTTGGAGGTTTACTCTAACAGTGAAAATATACACATTTATAATTTTAATAGTGTGCAGGTGTTCAAAATGTGCATGCATTAACACATATAGTCACGGTCCATGTATAGGCATGATTATTCTTAGTCATTCAGTAAAGCATTGTACATTCCTCACTAAAATTGTATTAATACATAATACTAGAAATAAGAAGCCCTCACAAAATGTATTGAATTTGAGTTACTAGTCAGAGACGGAGAGATTCTTTGTACTTGATTAATATAGAGAAATTTATCACACAAAGGTGAATCTTTGAAAAAGATCTTAGAGACCTAGAGAAGGAAAAGCAGTTAATATTCACCTAGTGAGAAGTGTTTGACAAATGATGCTAAACACCAATAAATACATGAATTGCTCCTAGTTTTCATATTGAATATTTGAAATTTTATGAAGTTTCTATTTTGTACAAAATTTTTCCACCTGTGAATAACTTTGCAAAGTGAAAATATTCCTAATGAAGTATACTTTACTTAATGCACTAACACGATTGAACTAAGTAACTCTTATGCTTGTAAAAGTTGTATGGCATCTGTTTTATGGGATAATCAAAAATTTCACTATTTATACTCTAAACCACAGAAGTCAGTAAGTCTAACTATGCTATCCATATATTGTGAATGGGTAATACTGCTCAAGAATACGGAGTATCTTATTTCCAATGATTATAAAACCATAAGCACTATATTCTGTGAAAGGAATATATTACACTTATACCATATTTTTCCCTAATAGGTTAGATGACAGAATACCACTTGAAGGAGCAAATGAACCTGAACAGGTTTCTTTAAAAGTAGACACTGACATCTTGCAAAATGCATTAGCTGAAAATGACACACCCTATTACGATGTGTCCAGGTGAGTTTGTGTTTATTGAGTTTTATTTTAGAAAATATGTTTTTGAAATATATATATATATTTTTGAAATATAAATGCTTTACATTTTGTGTCACCATGAAGCTATTTTTACAGCACACTACAGGTTTCCATGTGCTGTGGCTTCATGCAGCCTGATTTATTGCAGCTCTAGCAACTGTACATGATTTTCATATAGAGAAGTTGTAAAAAGCCAGGACCAATAAATCATTCACTTACACAGAACCCTTTGTCTAGAACAGCATTCAAGTATAGACAGAGTAGCTCTATACTAAAGACAAAACATAAAAGTTCCTGATTTGGATGGGAAAGATGATTGATAGTCCCCAAGGGCCCCTTTATCTTAAGAGATTGTTTTGTTTCCAAATGTTTTAATAAAAGAAATAGCAAAAAGTATAATAAGGTTTTTGCTAAAAATCAAGATTGTTTCCTCTTGTATATATCTTTATTCAAGGTAGAAGAAACAAAGCACCATAAATAAATAAACAGAAACTAACTTAAATATATTATTTTTTCCCATAAATATTTATTGAAGAAGAATTAGTTTTATAGACTCTACCAGGAAGCATTACTTAATATTGAGATATACTTCTAAATATTTAATTTCTTTAATTTTTCAAAGTGTGAGCTACAATTTGGAGTATATCTTAATATAAGTGACAAGAAAATACCTCATTAGGTTGTCAGGAAGCCTTCTTTTGCATGAGAAGCTTTCAAAGAAGCTGAGAAGTTTCTTTCTTGTTTAATGAGGCAAAATAATATTTTAGAAAAACATTTACAAAATAATGGCTATTCTTCTTCTTTATTTTAGGAATGCCAGACATGCTGATGGAGTGTTCACCAGTGACTTTAGTAGACTCTTGGGTCAACTTTCTGCCAAAAAATACCTTGAATCCCTTATTGGAAAACGGGTTGGGTAAAGAGAATTTATTATCTTTATCAAACACCTTATAATTATTTAATATGCAAGTTATTTTTTCACTGTTAGCAATTTATTTACTTTGCTCAAAATTGATAACTCTGATGATGTACAATTTCGTTGAAAAATAATCTATATTATGTTTAATGTTTATTTATTTGTTTTGAGAGAGAGTGTGTGAGCCTGAGTGGGGGAGGGACAGAGAGAGGAGAGAGAGAATCCCAAGCTGGCTCAGTGTTGTCGGTGCAGAGCCCAATGCAGGCTCAATCTCACAAACCATGACAGCACGATCTGAGCCGAAATCAAGAGTTGGAAGCTTAATGACTGAGCCACCCAGGCACCCCCAAAATTATATTCTTATATAAAATATACCATGCCCATGGATTAGGGAAATATGTTTTTAGTGATATCCTACTCATTGACTACAGACACACTTATTTTTCTTAAGTGGCAATCATTTATCAATCTGCAATCAAATTGAACTAGACACAGTAAAAAAATAAGACACTGAAGCAAATTTTAATGTTTACTATAGTATTTGTTTTTTTAATTCCTGATCAAACCAAGCATATGAAGTTTCTTTCTTTAAATGGCCAATTGTTGAATATTTAGATGGCACTATTCAGGGTGGCAAAGCTTCTAAAGAATTAACTTTTAAAGAAATATTCCTCCCAATGGCAGAGCACAACATCAACTATCCCTCCATCTTTTTATGTTAATTATTTGCACAGTTGATATACAATGTGTATGAAGGCTCCCAGTAAATGCCAAAATATGTTGGATTATTCCTTGCTCCCCTATCCTTGGGCTTAGATGTATTTTTCTCTTAGTCTTTTTGTGATAGAAAAGAAGTTGGGCATTAGAATTCTTTTTTATCTAATTTTATCCAAATTATTCCAAGAAATTTGGAACTTTGACACATTTATTATCTCTTGTTAAAATCCTTTGCTTTCCTTTCCCCTGCATTCTTTAGCAATAGCATCACAGAAGACCAGGGGCCAATCAAGCGCCACTCTGATGCAGTCTTCACCGACAACTATACCCGCCTTCGAAAACAAATGGCTGTAAAGAAGTACTTGAACTCCATTCTCAATGGGAAGAGGAGGTAAAGAAACAGAGAACTTGCTAAAATGAGAAATTATACATGAGTTCAAAAATAGAAGCTACATATGAAGACTTATTTCTCTATCTCACTCTCTATACTCTGTGAAACAGTAATTCTCAACCTTGGCTGACATTTGACTGCCCTGGAGAATTTTTAAAATACTGATGTGTGGGCCTTACCCAAAACCAATTGTCAGGTAATTAGTGCCTCTAGAGGTAGGAGGTATGGCTCTAGACATTGGTGCTTTGTTTTTGTTTGTTTTGTTGTTTTTTTGTTTGTTTTTGTTTCTAGGAGCTACCCACTTGATTCTACTGTGTGTCCAGGGTTAAAAGCAATGACTGTAGAGACATCTACTCTAAATCTGGGAACTTTATCAGAAGTTTAAGCTTTTTAAACATGTAAAGTGCAGTCAATTAGCAGTTTGATACCATATATGACTCCCTTCATATACATACTCAGTATCTTTATTTTACCAAATCAAACCACGGGTACTTTTGTATTCTAAGATTCTGTAAGACTTATGTCTCTCTAATGGAGTGCAAATATTGGATTATAATAAGTAGGAAGTGGGGTGCTCTCTCTTTTTTTTTCTAATTATTTTTGTTTCAATGGTCAGTATTAAGGGCAATCTTGCTTGGGTAAGATCAGACAAGATGAATGCCTTTGCCCACCACTATTATAATTCTGTACAAATAATTTGAGATACCTTACGATTCAGGAAAAATTCATATGTAATAACGAACCTCAAAGATAATTGGCTAGCCCTCAGTGCACTTTCCAGAGCACAGAGAACAGCGTAAGTCACACATCATCATTTCTTTGGAAGCTTGCTCATCTAAGGCCTTTAATATATATGATGTTCTTTTTCTGATGTGCAGCAGTGAGGGAGAATCACCTGACTTTCCCGAAGAGCTAGAAAAATAATGAAAAGCCCTTGGAAGAAAGCTGTTGACAGCTTCCCAGTGGTGGGTATATTCTGTCCATTCTTGTTTTATTCCTATAGCAAACATCTAATTACTGGAATAGGGAAGAATCACTTAGTAAAAAACATCTCAGAGTTCTCACAATGAGACCTCATGGAAAAGGACACTTCTATCCGAAGTGGACCCCAGCCCAGTAAACACTTAAAATGATTCATGCAGTGCTCTGATAGAAAAAAAGAGAGAGCTCACAATGGGTAAACAGTTTGCCACCTGCATGGTACCCCTCGTTTACTCAGACTTATTCCTCTCCTTCTTGTTGAGATATCAAACAGAGGAATCTGACTCACATGAGAAAAACTGGCTTTCTTTTTGAGACTTGAGCCACACTGCTTTTATTAATTTAAGGTTTAGCCCCACGATTGACTGTTAGCACGGCATTTAATTTAGGTGCAGAAAAATACCACTAAATTACAGTATGGTTCATTATTATGAAAACACCAAGGCACTCTGGTTCTAATTGTATTCCTTGAACCATACCAAGCTTCATGCCGCAAGGTTAAATTTAGCGTCTTGCACCTATTGAGTGAGTGTAGGTGCTTTGATCTCATAGTATTTATGGTAAAATAGTTTTTGAAAAGAGAAAACATATGCAGGCTTTTCCCTTTGCTATTAAGTGATAAGCTTGTTATCCCAGTTACTTTTATGTACATGTGGATACAAGACGTAATTCCTTCCTGAGTTACATTCATGCTTACATTAGCTCATAAAAATATTGGGCAAGTGCTTAAAGGAATTTCATATCATCAGTGTATCAGAGGTTGGTAAACTTTTTCCCTAAAGGGCTACAGAGTGAATATATTTTGGCTTTGTGGGTTAACATGGAACCCCCAGGATAACATGTAAAATGAATGGGAGCTGCTGTCTCACCATAACATTGTATTTGTGAAACCTAAAGATAGGCTGGACTACAACCACTGAGTGGCTCGAGGAGACTAAACGAGCCCCATGCTCAGACTGAAGGCAGTCCTTGGTCTTGCTGAAGTTCCTGGAGCAGATGGCTCAGGTTTTTGTGAGAGTGATCAAGAGTGGGCTAGTGTCTCTGAAGACATCTGCCCCATTGGTTACTTTTTGTCCACAAGAGACGTATGCTGAGGGTCTTGCACACGCCCGTTCCTTATCACATCAGAGAAACAAGTCCCTTTGCTCAAAGAAGAAAAATTACATAGAGCTTCTTGAAAAAAAAAAAGTTTACAAGAAGAAGCTATTTCATTTAATCAAGAAATACAACGGGCACTGAACTAGAAAGGAGGATTAATCCCTCCGTCTTTTGTAAGATCACATATGAGATTCTGTCCTCCCTTCTTCTCTTTTCTGAATGGGTAACTTTGGATAAACCCTTTTAATGGGAAATCCTGCATGCCAACCATTTGCGAAAATTACAAATGGGTAATTATAATGACTAATTAAAGTGCCTCTTCGCATTTTAATTCCCTTTCTGAAAATCAGTCCTTTGGAAGATACCTTCCTGATATCCCAGACCATGATTTCCTGTCATAACAAGCTGTTCACAAGGGGCACAGGGGTACAGATGTTATCAAATGAGTGGATGAATGAGTGAAATAAGAAGCTGTAAATAAAAATATTTTTATGCTTAAAACACCAATTCTTTCTTTTTCAGAACTCGTGAAGGAAAACGATAGGCGAAGTGATTATATTTTGAGTTCTACATAAGTAATTCAAGAACACAACTTCAGTATCAAAACCAAATAAAATATATAGTGTTGTGAATGTTGTGATTTGCTTCATCCTGATGTAATAACTGTGATGTTTACACTGTAAATATTATTTGAGAGTTCTAAAATTTGTCTTTAATTCATGAAAATCCTGTAATTTCATATGCTGTGTATCCTTTCTAACAAAAATATATTTAGTGATAAGTAAATACTAGGTTAATTCCAATTATGTGGAGCTTTGGGGGAGTGTAGTAATAGAACACAAATGATGTGTTTATTTATAGAGCATACTTAACTATTCAGAAGCGTGGAGCACATAATCAGTGTGTCTAAATTTGAATGTTAAGCAGCTAGAATGCTGAGTTAAATAAACTGCAAAATGTCTAAGAGAAAGCCAACCACAAAGATAAAAAGGCATTCTTCAAAACAGACTTTCAGAAAATGGTATGCGTTTTCGCATTTTTAGGCAACGTTTATTTTGAATGAGATTTAAAATCTCTCAAATTCAGATCTCTAATTGCTGAAGGCTCTTTTCTGCAGTGGTGTTTCAGTGAAAGAGAATGGTCTCTATTTCTGACATTGGACCTTTCCTTCCTGCTTGTGTTAAGTATGTGTAAAATGTAAACTGAATGGAACATTTGTTTTTTCGGTAATAAATTTTTTCCCCATAATTACTCAAATAATGCTTTGGTCATCAGCTTCCTTCAGTGAAAGTACATTTGGAGACACAGCTATTTTTCCAAAATATAGGAAATTAATAGAGAAAATAAAGAACTTTGATTATCATTGCAGACACTTTCTATTGTTTTGATTTTGTTAAATGATACAGCAGTAACCTCATTTTAGCTCTCAAGTTCCAGGCGCTAGATAGTTTTTATGATGTTTGAGGTAAGACTATGTTTGATTTTGTGTGAGTTCTAAAACAACAGTGACTTAAATATGAGAGAAATTTCTTTCTCACTTAAGGCCAGAAGTAAAATGTCAAGGGTTAGTAAGATGGTTCTGCTCCATGAAGCCCTCAGAAATCTAAACCTCTTCTCGTGATCCAAAATTGCAGCTAGAGTTCCAGCCATCATATCTGCATTCTAAGTAGTAGGATGGAAGAAAGAGCATAGAAAAAAAGGGGAAGGGGCAAAGAGCACATGCAGGTTCTCTTTTAACTGATATTTTGTGCTAATATCCCATTGACTAGAACATAGTTTTATGGTCAGAGTCATTTGGAAAACAGGTTAGAAAATGTTTTGTTTTGTTTCTGGATAGTCATGTGCCCAACTAAAAACTGGGGTTCTAGTAATATAAAACAAGGAAAGAATAGACTTATGTGGGGATTTTTTTTTTTTTTTTAGTCTCAAACTGTGGATCTTAAATTCTTACCAAAAAGACTTACAGAAATGATAAAGAAAGTGAGAGTCGATAGACCCTAACCATTAATGAGGAACCATCATCACAAGGCAAAATTTTGCTCAGGTTCATTTACTACAATTAGAACAAATGGCTCTATAAGGAGAGACTAATCTAGAACTACTGGTGAATGCAAAGGAAATTACACAAATTGAAGTGAAGTGGACTAACTATATCTTTTGTTCATACCTGATTTCATAAATCATCAAATATTTGTTAAGTGAATTTTCTATGCAAAATTCTATGCGAAGCACTGCCATGAAAACTGAAAAGTTCTCGATGTTATTCGCACATGAGAAGCTTATAAAGATCAAATGGGGATAAGGGTACCTGGGTGGCTCAGTCAGCTGAGTGTCCGGCTTGGGCTCAGGTCATGATCTCATGGTTCATGAGTTCACGTCCAGCATCAGGCTCTCTGCTATCACCACAGACCCCACTTCAGATCCTCTGTTCCCATCTCTCGCTGCCCCTTCCCCCCTCTTAAAAATAAATAGATATTAAAAAAAAAAAGATCAAAGACTCCTGGGAGGCTCAGTCGGTTGAGTGTCTGACTTAGGCCTAGGTCATGATCTTGAGGTTCATGAGTTGGAACCCCGTGTCGGGCTCCGTGCTGACAGCTCAGAGCCTGGAGCCTGCTTCGGGTTCTGTGTTTCCCTCTCTCTCTGCCCCTCCCCAGCTCATGCTCTGTCTCTCTCCTTCTCTCTCAGAACATATTTTAAAAAAACAACATCAAATGGGGGTGTAATTGCAGTGCAATTCGAATATGAATCTGCAGAGTTTTAATTTTACCTTATTAATGTAAGTCTTTGCAATTTAGTCCCTATTCCTTCAAGAAATACTTATTGAATGACACTGATGTGCAATTTAGATATCTGAGGGATGAATGTTTTGGGCAGGAGCAAGTGAGGGGAAAATCCTGGCATACTTGGACAGCAAGGAAGCCAGTGTGGGCAGAGCAGGTGAGCTGGATGAGGCAGAGCAGGAGATGAGGTCAGGGAGGCTATCTAGTCCTTGGTAACACAGGCCACCATAAGGACTTAGCAGTGAATTGGGGAGATGTGGCAGAGTTTCAGACAGTGGTGTGACAGTATCTGAACTGCATTTCAACATAACGATTCTGGCTGCTGTGTTGGCAATTGGGTGAGGGGGTGCTGCAGGTGGGAGCAGGGAGAGGAGCGAGGAGGCTCTTGCTATAAATCAGGTGAATGATGATGGTGCTGGCCAGGTCCACACAGTACAGGTGGTGAGAAGTGGAGTCTGCATGTGTCTCAAAAGTAGAGTCAAATTTTTTGCGGATAGTTTGAAGATACGGAAAAGTCCAGAATAATTCTAAGGTAAGTCACCTGAGCAACTTGAAGAAGAATGTGGCTATTAAGTAAGTCGAAAAAGACTTGGGGTGGGGGAGGCGGTTCCAGGGGAGGATGGGTTTAGCTTTGGACAAGTTAAGTAAGTGACAGGTTCTGAGGAGATTTGGGGCTGCAGGTCAACAGTTGGAAGTCTTCAGTGTAGAGGTGAGAATTAACATTTTTTTAACGTTTTATTTATTTTTGAGAGACAGAGAGAGACAGAGCATAAGTGGGGGAGGGGCAGAGAGAGAGAGGGAGACAGAATTCGAAGCGGGTCTCCAGGCTCTGAACTGTCAGCACAGAGCCTGACATGGGGCTCAAACTCCCAAACTGTGAGATTATGACCTGACCCCAAGTCAGACACTCAACGGACCGAGGAACCCAGGCACCTCTAGAGATGAGATTTAAAGGTACAAGCCACGAGATCACCAAGGGACTAACTGTAGCTAAAAAGGAAGCTCAACACACAACCCCTGGGTGTATCAATTTACTTGGTCTGCCATAACAAGGTGCCACCGACT